AGTCTTGTGAGCCAAAATTCTGCTTTGGGAGCTACCAGCATTAAAGTGGTGAGCGGGCGATTTGGCTGCTGAGTAAATTAGTTTGCTCTGGAGCCCTCCTTCCTGAGCTGAGACAAAAACGTGGGAGACGGAGGCTAAAGAACTGTGAGCTAGCTCACACTAGCTCAGCTCAGAGGGAACACTGCTCCAGGCCCCACCTGGAGGTTGGCAGCCCTAAAAGGGAAGAGGGGCAGGCCAGTGTTGAGCCACGGCTGGGTACAACTGTTGCCGTGCTCTTTGCCTGCAGAAATCTCCTCAGGTCCCGACTCTCCGCCGCCGCCTGCCCTCATACTCCAGGTTGACGGCGCTGCCTGGGAAAACGGATAGCCTGTCAGGAAGAGGGCAGGATAATATCATTCAACCTGAATCAATAGTACACAGGCAATTTTTGCGTTCCCTAATGACAATGCGATTGTGTCCAAACTACCACTTAATCCTGTGTCTCATCTTGTTCTCCTCAGAGCGGCCTGTGCTGGGGAAGTCATACCCGCTCTGCTTTTACGGAGCCCTTGAGGAATTGTCGCTCCAGCAGCCAAACATTAGCGATATATATATATTTTTTGGTCTAGAGATCCTGTCAAAAATCATAATTACCCCAATTCAGAATATGAATTTACTTAAAAGGTAAAGGTTCCCTTGCTTGAAAGCCAGTCGAATCTGACTCTAGGGTTGCGGTGCTCATCTCCGTTTCAAAGCCGAAGAGCCAGCGCTGTCTGAAGACGCTTCCGTGGTCATGTGGCCGGCATGACTAAACACCAAGGCACACGGAACGCTGTTACCTTCCCAACGAAGTGGTACCTATTTATCTACTTGCAATGTCTTGCTTTTGAACTGCTAGGTTGGCAGGATGAATTTACTTACCTCAGTGTTAAATTCATGACAAGTCAAATGTCATCGTCCTGAAAAGCTGGCACAGGAAGGATCTGTGACTCAGCAAAAGCCCCAGGCTCAATCCCTGGCATCTTCATTAAAAGGAATTGAAGTCTCTGGGAAATACCTGTACCTGTCTGAAACCCTGGAAAGACACTGCCAGACTCGATAACACCAAACTTAACTGGAACAATGGTCTCATTCAGGAAAAGGCAGCCTCTGTACGTTCTAAATTGGCTCATTACGGTAATGAGAGATTCCGCATGTGTGGAGATCCTATCATAGACATGAATTGCAGCTCAGAGTGATCTCAGTAGATGCCCCCCCAAAGCAGAGGTTTTTAAGATGAGCCTTGAGCTTGTCTAAAAGCTGTGTGATCCTTGAGCTTATCTGACCAGGTTCTAGGCAGCTTCTCTGTGCAATAGTCAATGATTTACGCAAAAAGCTTTTTATATTTTCTTTGCCTTTTCCCTTTAGTTAATCATTTTATTTATTTCCTTACTTCATTTATATTGTCTTCCAGGGCTCTTTTTGTAGAAAAAGCCCAGCAGGAACTCATTAGCATAATAGGTCACACCCAACAGCAGAAACCCATTAGCATATTAGGCCACACCCCTGACAGCACAACTCATTGGCATATTAGGCCACACCCCCATGTTACCAAAAGTGTGCTCATCCAGCCACACCCACCTTTTGCTTCTTATTCTGTTTACCTTGTTTCTAGTCAAAACCCAGGGCTTTTTTGTAGCAGGAACTCCTTTGCATGTTAGGCCACACACCCCTACTGTAGCCAATCCTAATGAGTTTCTGCTGTTGGGTGTGGCCTATTATGCTAATGAGTTCCTGATGGGCGTGGCCAACTCGGGAGCCAGCCGGAACTCCGTTCCTGTGCGTTCCTGCCCAAAAATAGCCCTGTCGTCTTCCCCGACAGGGGTGCCAAGCAGCTTATATCCTTCTCCTCTCCTCCATTATTATCTGCACAAAAACTCTGTGGGAAGTGAGGCCGAGAGTGTGTAACTGGCCAAAGGTTTCCCAGCAAGCTTCCGTGGCAGAGTGGGGATTCTAACCACACTGGCCAAAAAAACACAACTGCTTCTTACAGTTGAAGAGCTGTTTCTGGTAGCGTTAAAATGATTTGGTTGAATGTTTAAAAAATAATAATTTGACTTGAAAGCACAGAAGCTTTACGCGGTATCCCCGATCCTCCACGTTTTCCATTAAAGGGAAAATGCTGTTCAAACAAATGACAAAGCTGATCTGACTCCAATGAAAATGAGAGAGAGAAATTTTACTTACAAAAATAGAAGCACATCTTCAGTGACATATTCCTGGGGGTACTTTTAACTTATTGTGAACAGATTGACTTCAAAAAGGGGGCTTGCTATGGCTCCAAGCCCAGGTAAGGGAGAGGTCCTATATATAAGATGAAAGAGGAGGCAAGCAAGGATCAAAGAGGCTCATCATCTAACTGAAGAGAGGGTGGGGCCAACTGTCAAGTGTATACAAGCAGAGAATTAAAAACATAAGAACATAAGAGAAGCCAATGTCGGATCAGGCCAATGGCCCATCCAGTCCAACAGTCTGTGTCACACAGTGGCCAAAAATACCAGGTGCCATCAGGAGGTCCATCATTGGGTCTAGGACACCAGAAGCCCTCCCACTGTTGCCCCCCCCCAAGCACCAAGAATACAGAGCATCACTCGCCCCAGACCGAGAGTCCCGATCTATATCTTGTGGCTAATAGCCACTGATGGACCCTCTGCTCCAGACCCCACAACAGCCACCCTGTGATCAGGGGTCATTTGGGGGGGGGGGGACGCGGGGGAACGCAGTTCCCCCGGGTGAGGTGTCTGCTCTGGAGCCATCTTTCCTGAGCTGAGACAAAAAATGTGTGAGCCAGAGGCTAAAAAACTGTGAGCCAGCTCACACTAACTCAGACACCCTGTGAGATAGGTGGGGCTGAGAGAGTTCTTGACAGAAACTGCTCTTTTTCAAGAACAGCTCTTATCAGAACTATGACTTGCCCAAGGTCACCCAGCCAGGTGCAAGTGGAGGAGTGGGGAATCAAACCCGGTTCTCCCAGATTAGAGCACTTAACCACCACACCAAACTGGCGCCAGACTGGCAGTGAAATCCATGTGTTAATCACTCTCCCCGTATGTTCCCCAGAGAGCACTGAGATCAGGATCACAAAACCGCTTGGCCCTCCCTGGTCTGAAGGGCATTAGGCTGACATCGACCAGGACCAGGGCATTTTCATTGGCAGCTCCGACCTGCTGGAACGAGCTCCCCGGCGAAATCGGGGCTCTGCGAGACCTCTCACAGTTCCGCAGGGCTGTGAAAATGGAGCTTTTCCGGCAGGCATTTCAATAGGAGCTGCACTTTATCAGCTAAGCCCTGTGCCGACTTAGAGCTAGAAGCTACCTAGAATGGTATCCACTGCTGGTCGTGTTCATCAATGCACTTTATTATACTGTACCACCATTGATATATTAATGGTCTTATGTTATGTATTTTTATTGTGATATGTATCTTGTTTTATTGGTTTTTATGTAAGCTGCCCTGAGCCTGCTTTGGCGGGGAGGGCGGGGTAGAAGTTGAAACAATGAATAAATAAATAAAATAAATAGCCCGACTGCTCAGCAATTTCGTTGAGTGCCCACGAGTTCTTCTATTGTGAGAAAGGGAGAAAAGGACTTCTTTCTCGGCCAGTGTTCCATCTAAGCTGAGTTAGTGTGAGCTAGCTCACAGTTCTTTAGCCTCCCGCTCACAGTCTTAGCTCAGGAAGGAGGGCTCCGGAGCAAACTGATTTATGCAGTAATGAAATCGCTCGCTCACAACTTTAATGCCAGTAGCTCACAAAGTAGAATTTTTGCTCACAAGACTCCACTGCTTAGAGGGAGCATTGTTCTCGACCTGCTCTATCCCATTCATAATCTTATAAACCTGGATCATGTCACCCCCTCAGCCGTCGTTCCTCCAAGCTAAAGAGCCCCCAAGCGCTTTAACCTTTCTTCATAGGGAAAGGGTTCCAACCCTTTGATCATTCCAGTTGCCCTTTTCTGCACTTTTTCCAATGCTACAATATCCTTAATTCTCTGAGCCCTTTCCCTCCCACATCCTCTTGCATGCAGAGTTACAATAAAGTAAAGGTAAAGGTTCCCTTGCTCGAAAGCCAGTCGAGTCCGACTCTAGGGTTGCGGTGCTCATCTCTGTTTCAAAGCCGAAGAGCCAGCGCTGTCCAAAGACATTTCCGTGGTCATGTGGCCGGCATGACTAAACACCAAGGCGTATGGAACGCTGTTACCTTCCCACCAAAGTGGTACCTATGTATCTACTTGCAATTTCTTGCTTTCGAACAGCTAGGTTGGCAGGAGCTGGAACTAGAGACGGGAGCTCACTCCGTCTTGCGGCAACCCGGGTCTCGAACTGCTGAACTACTGACCTTCCACAGCCTGCAGTTCAGCATCTTAACCACTTGAGCCACCGCAGCTCCTAGAGTTACAATAGCCAACAAAAATTACCTTCCCTGATCAGAAGGGTCCGGATCCAAGAACCACCAACCGCCGTTTGAGGTAAGGTTGGCGGCTACACAGAAGAATGGCCATTCTTTCGTAGGGCTGTGGTGGTGGCTGTCTTCAAGGACACAGACGGCTTCCTCCTTTGGTGTAGTGGTTAAGAGCAGCAGACGCTAATCTGGAGAGCTGGGTTTGATTCCCCACTCCTCCACATGCAGCCAGCTGGGTGACCTTGGGTCAGTCACAGTTCCCTCAGAGCTGTTCTCTCAAGAGCAGTTCTCTCAGAGCTCTCTCAGCCCCACGTACCTCACAGGGTGTCTGTTGTGGGGAGAGGAAGGCAAAGAGATTGTAAGCCGCTCTGAGACTCCGAGTGAAGGGCAGGGTATGAATACTCCTCCTCCGCCTCCTGTTTTGGGTGAACTGAAATAAGGCTTGGATTCCTTTTTGTGCTCTGTTTACTGGCAAGGTCTTGCAGTTCCCTCAATCTGCTCTCTTCATCCACACCACGAGCCGCTGAAGAGCACGCACATCTCTTTCCACACCTCCTAACTCTCCTTTCTTGGCTTCCTTTAGGAGTTTTCCCTCCAGCGACTGGACAACCTGGACGACCGAGTTAACATCTTAGGATTTTCCATTTTCAACCAATCCCACGCTTTCTTCCAAGAGTTTGCACAGAGCCTCAACCAGTCATGGCAAGAGAACTGTGACCACATTCCGTTTACCGGGCCTGCGGTAAGTAGAAATAGGCCTCCGGCCTTTACCCCACTCTATAGTTAAAGTCAGTACTGGGAGGAAAGAAGAGATAAGCATTAAAGAGGGAACCGGAATAGGCAGCTGTTAAAGCATCTAGAATCTCCCTCTCTGGATAAAGTCTAGCCCTGCGGACACCTTTACTGGCACCTGCAGTGCCAAGTGTTTTTAAGAAAGTGGGTTGGGCCAGGTGGGGCTTTTGCCCAGCAAGGCTTCTGATTGGCCATTGGAGATTTGATTGGCTGTGCAGATTTTTACAAGTGTTGCTTTGGCCGCAGCTGCCACCACAGCACGAGGATCTCCTCAGTGTGATGGAAAGTAAGCTGCAGCAGCCATTTTGTGGCTGACTCTGCCTCCTGTGGCAGCCATTTTGTGGCTGTGCCCAACACCCTGGTGTCAGAATTCCAAAAGTGCCCACTGTCGAGCACTGGTTTCGTTTCACTACGTTTCACTTTACTGCTTGCCATAGATATGGGGGGAGGGACTTCCTGAGGGGGGTGCACGGGTGTTTAGAGTGGATGCTTGTAGAAGCCACAGCGTTCCCTTAAGGTTGTGCCCCGAAGCTGGTTCCCAGGGGAACTGGCCTTGGAGTCTCTTTTGCCAGGCTAGGATGTAGATAAGGCACCGTATATCTGTCAGGGTTGCCATAGTAGCTGTAGGGGCTGAATGATGATATATACAAGAGGTGTGGGCAATGTTCCCTCTAAGCCGCGCAGTCTTGTGAGGAAAAATTCTACCTTGTGAGCTACTGGCATTAAAGCTGTGAGCGAGCGATTTGGCTACTGCATAAATTAGCTTGCTCCGGAGCCATCCTTCCTGAGCCAAGACAAAAATGTGTGATCTGGAGGCTAAAAAACTGTGTGCTAGCTCACACTAACTCAGCTTAGAGGGAACACTGGGTGTGGGGTGTATTTTGTATTAACTATAGTAGGGGCTTTTGCGCGCCTTTCCCCAGTTCTGACACAGAGCTTGTTTCCTGAAGTAAGCATATCTCAATAAACTATCACTGCCAAAGTGTGTTGTGGAGAGTGTCTTAACTGGGAGACCTGACACCCACAGATTCCAAAAGGTTGGGGATCCCTGGTCTGTAAGATTTACACACTCCATTCCTGACTGATGTAGTTGACATGAGCATGGATTGCTGTAATGTTTAATTGCATTGAGTAGTATGAAGTTGTGTGTTGTTTTTTTAAAAAAAAAAACTTTGCCCATAGATCTGGAGGAGTGATCCCCAAAGCCATTGGCAGCTTCCTAAAGGAAGTTGCAAAAGCCAGTACTTTGAACAGAGAATCACAGAGTAGGTCATGAAACCCCTGCAAGTGGTTCGCAGGCCAGCCCTCCATCATGTCCACCCTTGTCTCTCCATTGCTCTTTTCGGTATCTTGGAAACCGAGATCTGACCCTGGAAACAGTATCACCTATGTCATACATTAATTGGTAGTTTTTTCTTCACTGCATAGACATCTTGATCAAGTTAAACTTGTCCTGATGGTCACTAGAGCGGTTGAGAATCTTAGAGGGGAGTAGAGGGAGTAATGGAGAAGGAGAGGATGGTCGAAGGCTGGACTGCAGCTTCCATATGCAAAGGCCGTGTATGTTGAAATGCCACTTGCTTGGGGTTCTTAGTGGGTTCACCCTTTGTGTGATGTCTGTTGGTTTCTCAAAAACATCTGATTATCCACTGTAGGGAATGGAATGCCACTGTAGGAAATGGAATGCCATTGTAGAAAATGGAATGCCACTGTAGGAAATGGAATGCGACTGTAGGAAATGGAATGCTGAACCAGATGGGTGCCTAGATAGTGAACTAGATAGTTTGCCTAGGGGTCCTTCCAAAAAAGTGGGTTGGCCCTGTATAGGTCACCACACCATACCAAGTAAATTTAGACTCGTGTGTCACCCCACTGAAAAATTTGGAAACCGCTGATCTAGATTGAACCTCGGGTTCCCTTTATGGCTTATTAATTGAATTGTAGGATTGTAGGTCAAAGCAATGGTATTCCCAGTAGTCATGTACGGCTGCGAGAGTTGGACTATAAGAAAGGCCGAGCGCCGAAGAATAGATTCTTTTGAACTATGGTGCTGGAGAAGACTCTTGAGAGTCCCTTGGACTGCAAGGAGATCAAATCAGTCAATCCTAAATGAAATCAACCCTGACTGTTCCCTGGAAGGCCAGATAATGAAACTGAAGCTCAAATACTTTGGCCACCAAAGGAGAAGGGAGCACTCACTGGAGAAGACCCTGATGCTGGGAAAGATTGAAGGTCAAAGAAGACGGGGACGGCAAAGGATGAGATGGTTAGACAGTGTCATCGATGCAACGAACATGAAGTTGAGCCAACTTCAGAGGACGGCGGAAGACAGGAAGGCCTGGCGGGATCTGGTCCATGGGGTCGCAAAGAGTCAGACTCGACTGTGCGACTGAACAAGGATTGTAGGAAGGGACACGAAGGATTGTAGATTGTAGGAAGGGACACGATCCTGAGTGACTCTGCCTTCTCAAGTTCCCAGAAGCCACTGCCAGTCTGAGTCGACAGCATTAAATTTGAGGGACTGAGGGTCTGATTCAGTATAAGGCAGCTTCAGTGTGAGTTCATGAACCCCTTTGAAGAGTGTTTTTACTCCTGCCTCTTAAATGGCTTGTTAATGACACTCGAGCGAGGCCTTCTCTGTTCCTTCATGAGCACATCTGTGCACTGTAGAGGGAAAGGAGTGCTTCTCCCCTAGAACACAGTGTTCTGGGGCGCCGCAACCGCACAACTTGACTGCAAATGATGTTCCTGGCATGGGAATGTATACGAAAGGCATGCGCTTGCTCCCAAGCAGAACTTTAAATGTTAATGCATAAATAAGCAACCTCTACAAGCTCTGCTCTGTCACTCCGGCTCACGTGAAAGGTCAATGTGGCCAGAAGCGGACAAATTAGGATCGCTGCTTGCGTCACCGTCCCCCTGTCCTTAAAATACCAAGGATGCTTGACATCTTGCTGATGCCTGTAGCATACACCAAGCTGCCGCCGCATGCTCATGCTGTGTGCTCCAGCGGCGCTTCCACGCTTCCTCCGTGACCGTCCGCCCACTCCTTTGGTCCAGGGCAACACTGCAGGTAATTTGCTGCTGCCTGGACTTGCTGTATCCCTAATACAACCTCTCCGTTGCCAAGAGCCTTCGCTGACAGCGGCCTTATAAATCAAGCTGGCTAATAAGGCCAAGGAAACAGAAATGAAGGTCTGATCTCTGCCCTCTAGCTCGTCCGTCCTCTTATTCTACTCTTGAATTTTTTGCGCGTGGGATCCTTTTTTGAACTGAGGTTTGGTATCGTGGGTCTCCAAAGTGGTTTTCATTGGAACCAGCTATGCAATATACACTGTATTTCTATTCTGCATCTGTGATCTGTGATTATATAGTATATATTGTGAATGGAACTTTATGACACCTTTAAGAGAGCCAGTTTGGTGTAGTGGTTAAGTGCGTGGACTCTAATCTGGGAGAACTGGGTTTGCTTCCCCACTCCTCCACTTGCAGCTGCTGGATGGCCTTGGGCAAGCCACAGTTCTATCAGAACTGTTCTTTCAAGGACAGTTCTAGAAAGAGCTCTCTCAGCCCCACCTACCTCACAAGGTGTCTGTTGTGGGGAGGGGAAGGGAAAGGAGTTTGTAAGCCGCTCTGAGACTCCAAGTGAAGGGCGGGGTATAAATCCAATCTCTTCTTCTTCTTCTTTCGATATAAATTACCTGCCTACCATTTTTGTAAGCTGCTCTGAGACTCCAAGTGAAGGCCGGGGTTTCAATCCAGTTTCCTTCTCCTCCTCCTCCTCTTCTTCTTCTGTTACATTATAGGATAATCGTGCAATTTGATCACAGTGTTTTGTGTTGTTTCTGATCTTATTCTACTCTTCTGAGGATCTTTCCTGTGCAAGACCCCGCTGGGATTAATGCAGAGTCTTTTACGGGTGTCTTCTTGGAGAGATTCAGAAGGAAAGCTACTTCTTCCATGCCAGCGGCACATGTCAGTAGCGGTACCCTGGCCATTTTTTGAAAGAGCTGAACAACTTTGGAAGGAGAGAATTCAGAAGTTGAGGTGGAGGAATTTCACCTTTTCCCTTGCCGGCTCTTTTTTCCTCTCAACACCCCCCCCCCAGCTGTTCCCCCCCAACATAGGGTTCCAGATTAGTAACCACCGTCAGATGCACATCTGGAACACCACATGGGGAGAAAACATCTGGGACAGGTGCTCTTGAGAAGAAAAATGTCGCTCCTCGGCCATTTGGCTAAGATCAAGTGTGGGGAAAATGTCTTATAGGAAAATGATTTAGCTCCTTTCCCCACTGTTCCTCTGCTGTAAATTCCTTCTTCCAGCACTTATCTTTGCTCTTTGGAAAATGGCACATGGGCATTTTTACACATGCTAGCACCCAGGGGTCATTTCGCAGAAAAAGAGGTGCAGGAGCTCATTTGCATAACTCATTTGCGTAACTTATTTGCGTATGCCACACCCCTTGACATCACCAGAAGTGTGTCAGAAGGCAACACCCACCGCTAAGGCGCCACTGGACTGTTTTGGATTGCTAGCTATCGGGGGGGGGGGTTGGGGGGATGGGCAGATCTGTCCTCGCAGAGGAGGGAGAGCTTGTAGCTTTTACCTGAATAAAACTGGGTCTTAAAGGTGCCACTGGACTGTTTTGGACCAAGGGGGGGGCTCTGCAACTTACCTGGCTGCTTCTCGCTCTGACTGAGGGCTGCTGGGAGCAGGGGGTGGGGCTTGTTGCATGTGCCTGCCCCCTGGGCTCTTTACTGCCGGAGCTCCGCTCCTGTGCGCTCCTGCAGGAAATGACCCCTGCTAGCACCTTACTTGCTTGGATGTACTGATCATTCATATCGATGTATCATTAACGGTTTTGGCTTGTCACGGAGGAATTCTTGGGTGCATTGTAGTGTGAAGCGCTGAAAACTTGTCAGTTAGAGATCCCTAGGTCTTTTGCCA